ATAACCAGCCAGCGTGCGCCCTGGGGCCCTGGGTGGGTGACAAAGGCACCGATGGCCGTAGCTCTCCGCTCCTCTTCAGCCTTCAGTGCCAAGCTGTGCTAAAGCATTTGGCTTTTTTCTGTCGGCAGTGCTACCCAGAAATGCGTAGCTTCTCCACTGTCCTTTTCAGCACGCACGGCAGCGCAGAGAGAGAAGCAAAGCTCTCTCGGTTGTTGCAGGGCTCCCTGAGGAAATGTGTCCGCTGGGAAGCTGGGAGCTGTCAGGCTGCGTGGGCCTCTTCAGGCGAGGCAAACCCGGGTTTGGTACCAGCCAGGGCCACCATGATGTTCAGCATCCCGGGAGTCCCATAGGATGTCCTGCAGAAAAATAGTTTCTTAAACGGGGAATTCTCAAGGTTTCAAGGGTTGGTTGGTTTGTTTGTTTGTTTGTTTGTTTTAAAATTGCTGCCTACACTCCTTATATGTCTCAAAACCCCCCATCTCTATGACTCTCAAGAAGAAATTTTCTGAAATGTAAATAAATCCAAATTCTATGAAACACAGATGTTAGTTTTGCTGTCTTGATTTCAGAAAAAAAATGCAGTTTTCTGGGAACTGCCATTACTATGCTTTTTTAATATTTAAAAATACAGATCTATGAACTATGAAAACATTACATAAGAGTGTTTCTGTAATTCAGACGTAATATGCAAGGCATAAAATTATTCTGATCCTTCGGGACAAAACCACTTCTATTTTTGCAGTAGTCAAAGAGATTGTGTTTTGTGTCTTTCTTTGACTTGTATTTGAAGTCCACCAAATAATTGTTGGTTGTTTTTTTTTTTAGTTCTTCATCAGATTATTTTTCATGTTTCTTGTGAAGCACAGGAGTCCATGGCTCTTCATAATATTTTGCTAATAAAAGGGGTTTACAGATGAAGTTACAGGCCTGTTAAGATCTGTGACAATTTTGCTGGGTATTTCAACCAGCTTTCCATCCAGATCTTTTAAACAAGTTGTGTTGAGCTAAAAATGTCATTAGTAACTTTCTGACTCTGCCTAGGAACTCATAGGGAAATTCTTTCTATGAACTGACATGTGGAGATCCTTAATTCATAGCAGAAAATGTATAAATGAAAAGAAATTACAAACTAATTGCATGAAATAGTAAACCTGAAAGCATTTACATTTCTCTTTCAATAGTTGCTAGTATTAATCCACACGTTTCTTAATCTGTTTTAGATGATGAGATCTCAGGCTCTAGATAAACCACATATGAAGTGATATGAATGTTAGGGCCCAATTCTGCTCCTGTTTGAAGTCAGCAATAAAACTTCTTTTGGCTTTAGGACTAAGAGCTTACAGATGATGAAAAGTGGAACTCAGCAGTGGAATATGGAAAGAATAGAGTTTTGTAGTGTTGTGTTACTTTAAAAAAAGAAATAATAGTTCTGTCATATCTCTCTGGATCTGAATGAAATGGGGGAATTGATCATTTTGGTTGTGGTCATCTGTTTGTTCAAAGGATTCTCAAATGAATTCTCCAAAGGATTTCTTGTTATGCCAGTGTAACAGCCAGTTGGTATCAAGTAATGAAAATTTTGCTGAAACATGGAATATAAGTTTTTACAGCCTGATTCTCACAGCTGCAGAGCTACAGCTTCTGCAGAATTATGACTGTAATGAGGAGAAAGAGCATTTACTTCGGGAGACATTTCTCTTCAGTAAAACTTTTGGTATGGTAATGCTGATTTTAGCTACTCCTACTGTCCTCTTCTCTGTTTTACTTCTTTCAGTAAAAAACCTTGCTAAAGAAACATTCACAACTGCTAACTCATAGAGAGATGAACCACTTCACTTCCTAATGCGAGCCAAGGTGTCATCTTCTCTCATAAGCAGAAGCATTGATTGCCCTGGCACCAGAGGTGCTGCAGGATGCCCATACTGCATTTTGGCTGCTTTCCTTCCTGAGCCATACCACTTCACTTTCCTTTATGTTTTTCATTTTAAAAATTAAAATCTTAATTTTAAAATAAATTTTAATCAGTTATTAAAAAAAAGATCCTGCTTAGCTGCTGTTCACACAGCCTCTTCTGAATTTAACCTGTATTTATCCCTACATTTCTGAATTACTTTTAGATGTGTGTTTCGGAAGTGACCATAACAAATGTTTCTGCTGAGTGGCTAATTTTCATTTGAGTTACAATTTCTTTTATGGGCATGTAATGCAGCTTCCACCTTTAAGGCTGGAAACCAACCCAGTGAAAAATTACCTCTTCCCAGTTTAGGATTACACTGAAACACATTCTTGCATTTCCTTAGGGATAAGCTGGTGCTTCATAAAGTTGCATGAATCTGGGCCACAGACCTTACAATAGTATATATTACTATGAAACTCTCCCCAGATTCCCATCCCAGAATACACCTCATTTTTGTAGGACTAGACCTTGCTGTGCCATCTGTGGTGGAAAAAAAAAAAAAAGAAAGAAAACAATGTGTAGCTAATCAGTTTTAAAAATAAAAGTAATCCAGGAATATGCATGTTGGTGGAACCTCATCCAAGTTGTGGGACACCAAATAAAATAAACACCTGAAGTTTTTTGGCACTGCTTACAACCTAGCAATTTATTTTCAACTTCATGCAATAACTTTTTCTTTTAAGACTGGCACCATGGTGAGTAAATAAAGTGCATATTAAAATAGTGGTGACTAGACAGTCACCAGAGAAATAAGAATAGTTTTGGAAGAAATCATTCTGATCTCTTAATGGAATAAGCAATAGTTAATAATTCTCTGAAAACTTTTTTTTAAGAAAAAATTAAAACTAAGTGTGTCTAAACAATATTCAGGTTGTAATAGAGATGAGGAGAAAACATCAAATGAGAAGTCCAGGCTGACACTTGAAATTATGCTGTGTTATTCCTTAATTGGAATTCCCAACTTATTTTTGTCTATGTCAAAGTCTTAAGGTTATTAAAATTGCGCGTTCCATACCATATTTCATTTAGATACTAACAGCAGCCCTTCCAGATTGTCTGTTGGAGTCACCAACTGTATCATTCTTACACCCCTTCCTTGACTGCCAAACACAGGACATGCTGGTGCCCAGAGTACTGAAATGAATGTGTACATCTGTGATACATCGGGAACCCTAGGTGCTCTAGAAATCTGCTGACAAACACTAACAATTTTAGATCCACAAGCAACTCCCTGAATGTAATAGAACCCCCTATGACACTTTCCTACTTCAGGAATTCCTCCCTCAATCCATTTATGAGAAAGGCTGTTTGAACAGCACAACGTTTATTTTCTCCATGTGACTGGGAAGACCTAATAACCGAGAAATTAGCAGTTATTTTTTACAGCAAACAGTACTTACCCTGAGCCTCTGCTGAGTCTCTAGGTGGCCCTCACAGTGCTGGCATTTGGCTGCTTTCCTGCCTAGTTGTGTGGTCTCAGCAGAGCGGATGAGGCCGTCCAGGACAGTGCCCATGGTTTCACATGTTTCTCGAGCAGTAACACAAGAAGGATTCTTCAATTTAAATGCTTTTTTTTTTTTTTTCTCCATACTAATAAAGCAAGTCAAACAAGGGATATAACTGCAGCATTCCAAGCAGGTAGAAAACAATGACTTCCTCAGCATTTTTTTTCTTCACAGTCCCTTTTTTTCCTTTTTAATGCCTGTGCCTCTTCACAATTTTCGTGTTTTACAGTGGTTTTTTCACAGTTAGTTGCTCATTTCTGGTGCCTTCCTCCACGCTTCCACATGGAGAGTGTCCCTCAGAGACTTATTACCTCACCTGACTGTCTTGCTACCCCTAGCTCCTTTCAGAAAAACTTGGGGACCATGGTGCTTCTGGAAGGGGGAAGTGTGACACTGATGAGCTTCTTCTGTGCTGGTTGGTGTTTTAAGCTGACGGAACAGCTTCAAGAACTCAGATTTGGGGAGCAACAGAAATGGTGGAATAAGGGAGGAAAGTATAAGTAGGAAAGTTTTTCCTAACCAATAATTAGGTTTGGGGCAGCCATACGGTTTTGAAGGACCTGATCATCTCCACTTAACCGCACTTCCTGAAGTGGTCTTTTTTTATATGCACCAACTCTGTGATATTTAATGTCATTTACAAAATTCTGTCCTCCAACAACACCATTCTGTGTAAAATGAATAAAATTTAGGGATCTGAAAAATTCTCAGTACTGTGATTGCATCTGTATTACTTCAATCAAGAATTCAGCGCAATGTGTGAGAGGATGTAGTTTGAAATTATAAGACACATGTCTTTTAATGTGTACCTAAATATTCTTTTATGTTTGTTGCCTGACTTGTTGCACATCTCTCAGCTTAAGCATCATTGCACTCAGATACATTGGACCCCTTTGGAGGTGCAGTGTGGCAGAGGTTGGGAAGCTGTAAAACAGGCTGCAGGTGTATACAACATATACATTATATACTGGATGTACATTATTCAAGCAGCTGTATAAAGTTTCTGAGTCTGATTAGGAAACAGAAATCTAGACTACATCTGCTGAGACAAAGACTTGAGCCCTCTGGTATTGTAGATAGCTGTATCATGTAATGAATCCTTGTGTGGTATAAAATTTGTTCTTCCACCATTGTAAGTAAGGAGCAATCTTCCTGTATGTTAGTGAGCTGTAAGAAGGGAATGAGAATGAGGGTAATGCACTTGGAGAAAAAAGCTGGAAAAAGATGGAAGACACACAAACAAAATTTTGTTTGGGCTTACTTTCAATCCTCTATTTGAAAGCTTTTATCACTTGGTAATTTGGGAACAGCTTTCCAGCTGGTACAGGCTTGAATTCTTATGTTTTATAAGTGTGTGTGCGCACATTTTTTTATGGAGCTGAAAATTTAGTGCATACCTGGCTTCTATTGATATCTGAAATCCACAACTGTGCTTTATTTCCTCACCTTCCTTCCTGCAGGATGGTCCGCACGCTGTATGCCATCGGTGCCCTGTTTCTCCTGATGGGGTTTCTGCTGCCAGCGGCCGAAGGGAGAAAGCGGAATCGTGGATCTCAGGGCGCTATCCCTCCTCCTGTCAAGGATCAGCCCAATGATTCGGAGCAGATGCAGACACAGCAGCAGTCAGGCTCCAGGCACCGGGAGCGAGGGAAGGGCACCTCGATGCCTGCCGAGGAGGTGCTGGAGTCCAGCCAGGAGGCGCTGCACATCACCGAGCGCAAGTACCTGAAGCGGGACTGGTGCAAAACCCAGCCCCTCAAACAAACTATCCACGAGGAGGGCTGCAACAGCCGCACCATCATCAACAGGTTCTGCTATGGCCAGTGCAATTCCTTCTACATCCCCAGGCACGTCCGTAAAGAGGAAGGCTCCTTCCAGTCTTGTTCCTTCTGCAAGCCCAAGAAATTCACCACTATGACTGTTACACTCAATTGCCCCGAGCTTCAGCCCCCAAGGAAGAAAAAAAGAATCACCCGGGTTAAGGAGTGCCGGTGTATATCTATTGACTTGGACTAAGTGGAGAAAAAGTAGCAATTGCACTCTGACTGTATGCAATCACCGCCGTTGTGAGAGTGAGTGGCATGAACTAGCCTACCTTCAAGGCTGGGCAAAACTGAAAGGGACCTAGTGAATTACCTAAAACAAGAAAAAACCCCCAAAAAGAAAGGAAAAATTAATGTAAGGAAAGGGCATGCATGTGTGTGTGTGTAAGGGAGAAAATGGAGATATGGATGAGCAAATGCATGAATATTCACTACAAAAAAAAAAAAAAAAAAATTTAAAACCAACAAACAAAAACAGCGTTTGAGACATTAAANGCCGGCCTTGCTCCTCTCGGGGGGCTTAAGCAGCCCCCCGCCCTTCGAGAGACAGCAACGGGACAAAGTTAAAAACAAAAACAAAAAACAACCCTCCCCCAAAAAACCAAATCCTCAGTGATACAGAGCCATGAGCGCGGGGCAGCGGATCGGGAGCCACGGTTTAACACCCCTGCACACAGACATTGCCACAGAGGCTTTTTCCTCCAAAGCTGCGAAATTCCCGGCACACTGCAGAGCCTCAGAAAGCCAGTTTGCAATGGGAGGGCTGCAGAGGCGGCTGCCTCCCCCGGCCAAGGCAGGCCGGTCAGGGGCTCCCCGCAGCCGGACCGCTCGGCCGGCCGGCCCGTGGGCAGGGGAGCGCCCAGCGTGCGCGGAAAGGCGGCGGAGGCGGTGGGAGGGGGCTAGGGTTTAATTCTTCTTAACTGTCATACTTTAATGGGGATGGAAAATGTTAATTTTCTGTGCATTCCAGGAACAATTCCTTGGGGTGGTGACCTTTAGCACCGATTCTCTGAAGACAGGAAAGTAGTCGAGTGTTTATCTGGATGACTGAAAGCTTTCCCTGGTGGAAGTTTATGGAAGTGTTAAAAGGGGCGGATAACACGGGCTTTGGAGGCGCTTGTCCAATGATCTGGAGGGGCTTGGAGAGCAGATCTCAGCTGGCAGACATTTAAATGGGAGACAGCTCGGCGCTGCTGCAATTTGTAGGCAGGACCCGACATTCTCTCTCTCTATGGACTCCCGGGCAGCTTCGGGCTCCCACGCCACCCGCTCCACCGAGTGACCCATCGCTCAGAGCCCCGCAGAGCCCCAGCCCGCACCGAGGAGCCGCCGAGCCGAGCCGAGCCCCGCCGCCGCGCAGGTGAGCTGGGGCGAGAACGGGTCCGGCACTGGCGAGTTCGGCCAGTGTCTGTGGGAGGCACAATGTTAAGCTCTCTATCCTACCTTCAGAAAGGGGCAAGGGAAGGAACTGTTCACCGGTGTCTAGCAAAACTCCAGGGCGTCTCGGTTTTGCAGGGGGTGACGCCCGTCCCTCCCGTCCGCGGGAGCGAGGCGCACCAAGCTTTCCGCCGCAGCGCTGGGGATTAGGGCACCGTCTTTTCGCCTCACAAGCACGGGGACTGCAAAAGCCCCGTTAGCTCTGCCTCTCATCTCCGCCTACAGCATCACTCCCGACAAATTGGATTCGGCGCCCACCCGAGACACGGAAAAATCCCGGCCCGGCCTCTGCACGGAGCGGGGCGGGGGCAGATCCCCAGATGCCAGCCCCATCCCATCTCGTCC